AAAAAAAAAAAAAAAAATGAAGGGGTCCAAGCAATCTTTTTAAGTATCTCCCTTTTCCCTTTTCCATATATGTCTGTCACATACCAGAATATGTGCCATAGTCCTCTGAACCCCACCGTCACCCCTATTTGCCTTCCTTTTCCAGTTTCTCCTCTCCTTCCCCAACTTTGTTTTGTAGATCCCAAAGGGAGGATCCAGATCTCCAGAGATCATCGGGAGGGAAGACCCGAAGCTGGCCAAGCTCAAAGAGTCAGGATCTCATACGTTCCTGCTGCATGATCGCGGACTGTTTTTCCAGTGATTCTGATTCCAAACCATTTTTCTGTGACACTTTCAAAGCTCACTTTGAAAAAGCCTCTATTCTCCGTTAGCAATGGGTAAATTAGTGCCCTCAGAGAATTTCTGATTGTGACAGGCATTTCTTGTGATTTTTGAACTATTTTAGTACCTTTTTTAGACAAAACAATGAAGATTTCTATTCCCTAGAAGCCAGTTGAGGGAGAAATCTGGGCAAAAGAGAAAAAGAAAATCTTTGTTCCCTCCACATCATCACATCTTTGAACTTTTCAAACACTGCACTGCCTACTGAGAAAGTTTATTTTCTTCAGCAGGCTTAGGTCTGCTTTCATTTGAGGCAAATGTTAGTCTCATCTGAGATCGGAAGATTTAGCCCTGGGCTCAATTGTTTTCCCCTCTTCTCAAATCCCAGTTTCCTATTTGCTAAAACATCCTTTGAGAAAGATTTCTTAAATTTGCAAAAATCGCTTGAAAAGTCCTATGGAAAAGTAGCAGCGGTGAACTTCAGAAACGTGATCAATTTCTTCAGAACTTGTATATGTATACATATGAATAGGAAAAAAAAAGTGTCCCAGATACTAAGAGAGGATTGACTGAATGGGAAAAACTATGAAGGCCAAACAAATTATAAAGGGGATTCGTTTTAGTAAATTAATAAATAGATGCTACTTCTTGATACCTGAATATTTATTTCTGCGATTTTAAGTGATGTCTTCTAGCTACATTGCTTCCTCTGGTTCTATTTACTTCTAGGCTTGCTTTTATTTAAGTAAAAATATAAAAAATGTGTGGTCATCTATGATGAACTTATTTAAACAGAAAGCTGTGAATCTTAAAAGAAATCATTTGTTATAAGATTTCTGTCTTGTTTCAAGCCTTTTTGGTCTTGGAATTCAGTTGTGTTTTGTTTGTTGGTGGTGGTGGTGGTGTTTAACTTGAACCCGGTAACTTTATGAAAACAAATGTTGGGTTTTATATCAACATTTTACTAACAGATTTTAGGAAGAGTCTCTGTTGGCTGTTTTCTTGAACTGATTTTTATTTTTTCTTCACTTTTCCAGAATGAGTTTAAAAGAAAACAAACAAAAAATTGTCCTGTAGGTCTGCTGGCTGAGGTCAACAATTGTTTTAAAGTTAGCTACAAAACATCTCTAATAGTTTTTGGATGTGTTCCAAAATCACTGGCAGAAGTTCATAAAATGAGGTTAAGAGAGAATTATTTCCATAATTGTTAACAACTCCAAGTCAAGTAATCCCTAACCAAATGAAACCTTTTATGTTTCTTTTCTCCCAACTCTAAAAATAAAATTTCTTACACTATCGCTCATCTAAAATACTCTTGTGTGACTAAGAATAATCTAGTATGATTAAGAATAAATATTTATATTCATGCCACAATTTAAAAATTTACTATAGAAGTATTTTTAAAGTCACACTTTGGGGGTGCCTGTGAGGCTCAGTTGGTTAAGCATCCAACTCTCCTCCATGGCTCAGGTCATGATCTCACAGTTCATGAGTTTGAACTTCAGGTGGGCTCCAAGCACGGAGCGTGCTTGGGATTCTCTCTCTCCCTCCCCTCATTCCCTCTCTCTCTCTCTCTCTCTCTCTCTCTCTCTCAAGCACACATAAATAAACTGAAGAAAAAAGAAAGTAACACTTTTAATTGGACATGGTTACGAAAAATTGATGTGTCACAGAGGTTTTTTTTGCTTTAAGAGTACACTACAGAGAGTACCAAGCAAGTTCTAAAAACTGTGGATATTAGTTATTTCATAAGTTTTCAAAAATGAAAATAAAATGTGGCTTTAACAGTCACTAATATACAATCATTGTGCTAATGAATATTGAAAAGATGCATGGGGCTAGTGGTAATAGATAAAATAATACCATCCAGTATTTATTATGGATTAGTGTATTTATAAGGTAGAAATAACCCAATGAAGTAGGAATTAGGAGTTAGATAATATACTTATCTATCTCACTATCATGCAAGGGGGGAGAGGATGAGAGGATCAGGGAGAGGGGGAGAGGGAAGGGGAGGGAGAGAGAGACACACACAAACAGACGCGTCCTAGTCTCTCAAACTGGACGTTCTGGCCCTTCCTTTTAACGAGACCTTGATATCCTATATGCAGAGAAAGGGAAATCATGCCAAAGTATAAGGAAAAATAAAAGATGTGACTTTGGACCTACCCGTGGCTGATGTCCTGATGAGTTAATGATGATCTAAAGAATTAAAGGGTGATTTTGACTATGAATAAATTTTCCCCTTAAGAACCTAGCATCTAAATAAGATGCGACTCCACTGTGTTAATATCCTCATTTGACAGATGTGACGATTGAGAGAGGTCCTTGCTCAAGGTCACAATGTTAGAAAGCAGAGAAGCAAAGATGTGCAGTTTCTTCTAGTTAGTGTGGCTGCACAGACCCTTCCCCCTCCTCATTCTCAAATCAGCACAAGGCATTGTGAGAAAGTCATATAAAACTGGATTCTGTGAGAAGCTCTGCAGATGGCTTCACATCCATTTTCTTCCCTTTTTTTTTTTTAAAGTTTATTTATTTTGAGAGAGAGTGTGAGCAGGGGAGGGGCAGAGAGAGGGAGGGAGAGAGAATCTCAAGCAGGCTCCATGTTGTCAGACACACCTTGACAAGTGTTCATCTCACAAACCGCATGAGATCATGATCTGAGGTGAAATTAAGGTCAGACAACTAATGATGGAGCCAGCCACCCCCATTTCATTTTCAATCTTTAGGTTGTAAAGATATTGTTCTGAAATATAACAAATTGTCATTATTTTTTTTTTCAACGTTTTTTTTTTTTTTTTTTTTTTTTTTTATTTATTTTTGGGACAGAGAGACAGAGCACGAATGGGGGGAGGGAGCAGAGAGAGAGGAGGACACAGAATGGAAAAGGCTTCAGGTCAGGCCTCGAGCCACAGGCCCAGAGCCTGACGCGGGCTCAACCACGTGACCGCTGAGATCGCGACCTGGCTGAAGCTCGGACGCTTAACCCTCATGCCACCCAGGCCCCAAATTGTCATTTTTTAACAGAGAGTGTTAACGGCAACATATTATGATGAAGAATATTGAATAAACTTGTATATTTATTATATACTGCACCAAACTTATGCCCTCTCCTCGTTTCTGTTTTTTTAATCACTTGAGTATAAAAAAGAATGATTGGTGTTGAACTTGAATTGATATATGTTGTTATCATAAAAATATGCTTTAGTATATTTAGGGAAACTTTCAGGATTCTGTTACCAAAACCACTGAATGATTAAAATGGGGGTATATTAATAGAGAGAATAAATTAACTTACTGTAAAATAAATTCTCAAAAAATGTTTAAAAAAAGGTTCTTCAAGCCCATCTGCAATGTTTATGTGGCTGTGATAGTTGGAAAAGCCATCAACTGGCTGAATTCTCCTGGGTACTCCCTTAGGACATGAAAGAAACCATTTTAGGATTCTGAGATCTTTCTTAATATTCCCATGACAAATTCCAGTCAAACACAGTATGTTACCAATGGCATTACTATTTAAAAAATTTTTTAATGTTTTTTGAGAGGGAGGAGAGACAGAGGAGGCCGGAGGTGGGTGGCAGGAGAGAAGGAAGACACAGAGCAGAAGGCCCAGCTCTGAGCTGCAGCACAGAGCAACACAGGACTTGAACTCAATGGAGATCATGACCGGCAGAAGTCAGGGCCAACCGACTGAGCCACATTGGCAGCCCCTAACCGTAGACTTTTGAGAGTATTGACAACGGAGTCAACTGAACTCCAGTAGGCTCCCAAGGCAAGATGAAGAAATGCCAGGGTGCCTGGGTGGCTCCAGCTGCAGTAAGTATCCGACTCCTGATTTCAGCCAGCATCTATCATGGAGTTTAGTGGAGGAGCCAACGCAGGGGCTCTAGACTGACATCAAGCCTGCTTGGGATTCTCTCTGCATCTCTCCCTCTCTCAAAATAATAAATAAACATTAAAAAAAAAAAAGATGGGAGAGTGTTATACTGAATCACATCCATAAATGGAAGGTATGGGTGTCAATGCATTCATAGTTCTGACTCTGCTTCTAAGATTAGTTGCGGTCCTAAATCTTTGTGGTAAAGGCATATAAGTTGTTCTAAAGACACAGATATCAAAATAGACACATGGTGGGAAGGCAAAGAACATGGAAATGGAGAGGCAAAGAATAATAAACCTGAGTGTCTCTCAACCCTCACTAGTGACTCACGTGGTCCTGATGCCTCAGGCACATCCTTTTAGTAGAGATGGCATCAAACTTTGAGAGCTTGATGATTATTTAATCTAACATTGGATTCTATTGCTTGATCGCATTGTAGCCACTAACTCTAACAATATGGTTTTCGCATTTTTGATTCAAGTAGAACCACCACCAATATTACATTCCATATTTCTCACTAAGCTCTTTTCCACTCCTGACCTCTACATAGATGCTTGTTTTGAAACTGTTGGACCTAGAGTTCTTACTCGCTTACTGAATGAATTTGGGAATCACTTTGATGTCATCCAATGTTTTGAAAGCGCAAATCATGCAGTACAAATTAAGTTTTACAGGGATTAGCACAGAATGTAAAATATTCTCTAATATTTCTGATCTGTCAAGTTTACAGCCTGCAAATAAAGTTATCTTTACATTTCTTTTTAAATTTTTATTTAATTTTATTTTTTTATTTTTTTAAAGTTTACATCCAAATTAGTTAGTATATAGGTGCAACAATGATTTCAGGAGTAGATTCCTTAGTGCCCTTTAGCCATTTAGCCCATCCCCTCCTACAACCTCAGAACCCTCCAGTTTGTTCTCCATATTTATGAGTCTCTTCTGTTTTGTCCACCCCTCCCTGTTTTATATTATTTTCTTTCCCTTCCTTATGTTCATCTGTTTTGTCTCTTAAAGTCCTCATTAAGAGTGAAGTCATATGATTTTGTCTTTCTCTAATTTCACTTAGCAGAATACCT